AAATCAAAGCCATGACCTTGGAGTTGCTAGCGCTGTGCTCTATTGTTTGAATAGTATCTAATAATTAGTTGCTAAAAAGTTCCAATTATTTATTGGAAGCTCTAAAATAAATGCATGATGGAAGGGTTTTGCTTCTAAAGTAGTCTTTATTTATTTATTAAATTGAAAAGTTATGCAGAGGAATTTTTTTTTAAATATATAAATAATTCATTCTCTGCAGATAAAGTTGTTCCATTGGTTGTACATATTCAAAATAAATTTTAAATGGCTTAGGATATTATTTTAAATATTAAATACTTTTTCTTTTTTTAGATATTTTTGTCTAAATATTTTTGTCTTTTTCCCTAAAAATGTGTATATTGCGATGCAACACAACACTGTTAAAAAGTTTGGCGGTCAATAAGATTTGTTTTTAGAGTTTTAAAACAATTTTCTGATCAGATCACAGAGGCTGCATTTATTTGATTAACCCCTTAACTGTCACCGTCCCAGTAGTAAAGTCCCTGTGGGACGCTTGGCGCTCTTTTTTGTTGTTGTCCTTTTTCTCTATCAAATCTTTTAGTAATCATAATAAATTATATATCATTTGAAAGCTTTGAAGCCCAAAATTCATCTTGTGAAAACCAATTTGAAATCGGACATTGCGTTACCATGGAAATGGTACTTTAAAATCTTTTGGCGGTCTCCTCCCCCTTACTGGGCAGTGTCAAGTGTCATATTACAAAATGCATTAGGGTCTTTTAGAATCAAACCTTTTTATAATCTTGACAAGAAACATATCACTGGAAAGGTCTGAGTCTCAGGATTCCATACTTGGTGGTTATTTTGAGATAGTAATATTGACAGAGAAATCTAGACATTTATGACAGAAAAATGCATAAAAAAAATTCAATGGAGTTTGGATGGCACCCAGTGGCTGTTTGTGGTATGACGCCCTAAATAAAATCTCACAGGAACCTTAATTCTTTTCATATCAACTTCAAATTTGGAACATAACTTATTTAGACATAAGGCTTAATTTTTTTTAATCAATTTTAGAGTAAAACCTGTTATGTAAAATATGTATTATAAATAAAATAAAATGAATATAGTGCATTTTATTTACAGTAAATTTAAACTTCTATAACTTTTTGATACTTCAATTTTTTGAAAAAATTCCACTTTTGCAATAATCCGCAAAATTATTTCTTCTTCAAAAAGAGACCAACCTTAGGTCTGTATTCCAAAGTGTTCATAAATTACAACAATTTAAGTTTGGATAGTGCACTTTCATGCCTATTTTAAAAAATGGGGGGTGACCGTTAAGGGGTTAATATACTGGAAAAACAGAAATATTTCTATTTAAAAACCTGTTTTCTATTTGAATATATTTAAAAATGGGATTTATTCCTGTAATGGCAAAACTGAATTTTCAGAAACCGTTACCCCAGTTTTCAGTGTCACACGATCCTTCAGAAGTCATTCTAATATGCTGATTTGCTGCTCAAGAAACATTTCTATTATTATCAATGTGCTGCGTAATATTTTTGTGGAAACTTTGATGGAAACGTCTATTCTTTGCTGAATAGAAAGTTCAAAAGAATGGCATTTTTTTAATAGACATTATTTTGTAACCTTATAAATCTCTTTTTGATCACCTTTGATAACTTTAATGTGTCTTTGCTGATTAATCTAGATTAATCAGTATCCTTGTATTAATTTCTTAAAAAAAAAAAAATCTTACTGACCCTAAACTTTTGAATAGTAATGTATATACATATCATGATCACAATTTTAGTATTTTATAATTTTTTTTTATATTAACTCTTCTTTCCCATGTGTGTGATTTGTTTATGTCTGTTCAGTGATGTGCAGAAAGCGTGCGCAGGCTCTGTGGCCTCTGTTTTCTCCTCTCTGGTCTTATGTCCCACTGAGCTGGTGAAGTGCCGACTGCAGGCCATGCATGAGATGGCCGCTTCCGGCAAGATCGCCCACAGTCAGAAGTAAAGCTTGAGCCGTCCTTTCTGTGGATATTGCGCACGTTTTTATTTACTTTTAATTGCTAGTATTACTCCTGATATCATTTACCTCTTTTCTCGTTATGCATGTTTGTGTTTTTCAGCACAGTTTGGTCTGTGATGAAGTCCATTATGCATAATGATGGTCCTGCAGGGTTCTTCCAGGGTTTAACCACCACAATTGCCCGTGAGGTGCCTGGATATTTCTGTTTCTTTGGAGCATATGAGCTCTGTCGCTCTCTCTTTGCTGAGTACATGCACTGTGGCAAGGATGACATAGGTATGGAAACAGTTACAGTTTCTACATGTTATCTTTAAAATGATTAAACGGTATTGACAACATAATGACTAACAGCATACTTTGTTTCTCATTTATTGATCGGTCTGCTATTTTTTCTGTTGTGTTATTATTGAAAAGGCGCACATGAATCAGTCATTAGGAGGACAAGGACAAACATTTAAAATCAGTCGGTAATCTATGAACTCTTTGTTTTAAATATAGCCGGTCGTTCAGTTTGCTCAGTTGATAGCGACAGAGACGCATATCTCTTGTAGGCTTTAGAAGTCCCTTCTCTCAGGTAAAAAGTCAGGATTTTACCCATTAAAAGTTTGGGGTCAGAAAGATTTATTTAGAACTTGTATTCTGTGACGATGTATTAAATTGATCAAATGTGACCGTAAAGGCTTTTATCTTGTTACAGAAAAAGTATTTAAAATAATTGCTCTACTTCTTCTGTTCATCAGTTTTCATCAGCTTTGCCATCACTGGAATAAATTACATTTTAAAATATATTAAAATAGAAAACACTATAATAGTTACCAGTTTTTCACAATATTACCCGTTTACTCAATTTTTTGATCTAATAAATGCAGCCTTGGTCAGCATAAGAGACTTTTTCAAAAAGTTTTCAAAAGCATTAAAAATCTTACCGCCCTCAAACTTATGAACGGTAATGTAGGTTCTGTATTTGTTTTAGTTTTTCTAGTATTACTCCGGTTTCCTGTGTTTGCTCATGATTGTAACGTGCTTGCTGTATATTCTCACGTGTGCTATGTTCATGTTAATTAATGTCAGCTTTAATAGGTTGGTGTGTCTGTGTTTTGTAGGGGTAGCCCCTATTGTGTTCAGTGGAGGTTTGGGGGGAGCTTGTCTCTGGCTTGTGGTGTACCCCATGGACTGTGTTAAATCCAGAATACAGGTCATGTCGATGACAGGCAAGCAGTCAGGCTTCTTCAAGACTTTCATGCATATCTTCAGAACGGAAGGTATGAGAAAGATCTGTTTTTCTATGCCAAATTGTATTGTGTATAAAAATTGTAAATGAACATTACATGAAAGCCCTGTTTTTGTCTCATTTTCAGGTGCAAGGGCTTTATATTCCGGTCTGACTCCCACAATGATCCGTACGTTTCCAGCCAACGGTGCTCTGTTCTTAGGTTATGAAGCCAGCCGCAAAATCATGATGGAACAGTTTGACAGCTGACCCTATAACAGCACCCTTTTGTTCTCTGGTTGGATTTTTAGCATTTTTAAATGAATTGGCTCTAATTCACCATGGCCAGTCTACAGTATTTCTTTCAACATGCCATGGTTTGCACACACTATTTTTTATAAGGATGCTTTGCTTTGTTTTATTTCTTTGATAACACTTTACAGTAAGGTTACACTTGTTTAGTGAATGCATCGGGTATTATGAACTATCGCTGAACAATAGTTCTTAAAGCATTTATTAATCTAGGTTAATGTATAAATATACTTTTGTTAATTCATTTGTTCATAATACATGAATGTAAATGTATGCAACACAAAATGTTAATTTTAGTAGCACATGTAAACATTTACAGCATAATGTTAACCAATTGTACTTTACTGTAAAGTGTTACCATTATTTTTTTTTTTATGTTAAGGTGTTTTTATGTGGCTAAACCTTGGGCTGACGGTCTAAAAATGTATCCGTTGTGCTAGTAACATTAGTCCCATAACTCCTTCATGCCTACAATTGGAAACATGTACTCTATATACGTGCAATTTTCAGGCTATTTGCCAGTTTCATAATTCGCAAAGTCCTGTTGAATGAACTCTAACTATGCAATTAAGTTTTGAATGCTATTCTCTTGAATACTTATAGACATGAATGATCTGACTGCCAACAAACCCTAGTTTTAGAAATACACTAAGTTAGTTTAATCAGCATAACCGTAAGCTTTGTATGTTTGTGTTTTGTTTTAGTATTTCAAGTGAGGGGAAAGAATGCCTTACTTATAATTTCACGTTTTTCTTCAACTTTTAAATACGGTGGGGTTCAAAAGCCTGAGACAACTTTGCTTCTAAGTTGAGCTCCACAGAGCATGCTGTGCTTCAGTTCTAACAAGGAAATCTGTGTTTATGTGATTAACCTCAAATTTGGTTACTGGATTGGTGACCTAGAAGTAGTGGAGAGTCATAAAAATGTCTTATTCACTCGACTTTGTAACATTTCTTATTCGTTTTAAATGTTTGAAAAGAACTAAACCTTTTAAAATTGAGATTGTCAATGTGACCCATTTATATGTGGATGTTTTTGTATGTGAGCATATGCTCGTCGTTCTGCCAAAGAACATTTACACTGCAGACAGACTCTACATACATATTTCAGATCTAGATTTAAAAATGATGTACTTGAAGTCAGCAGTACAGTATAGCAGTATTACATTTTGTGACATCACCGCATCTGAAATGTACCGACTGTAAATAATCTGCCATTTGATTCTGGTCTGAAAGAGTTCGGTTTGTATAGTTAAACACCACCTCTCTACCAAGCTGAATAACTTTGTAAAACCAGGATTGCATTTTTTGAGGGTTGTTCAAGAGATTTTAATTAACTTGATACAAAAGCATAGATTTCTGGGGAGAATTAAATTGTGTATATGTGAATTAAAGTCTGATAAAACACACAAACCACACTGTAACCGTTTGGATTTTATTTATATTTTAGTATGTTTATTTCATTTCTAAACTATAAAAATACAGATAGATACAAAAAAAAGTGTTATGCCATTAATTAAAGCCATTTTCCTTTCAAATATTCTCACTGGAAGTCATTGTACATGAGCTTTTACTAGAAAAACAGTATTAAGCCAAAACATTAATAGGTGAAAACAAGCTTTGAAGAAGTGTACGCAAACAAACTCATTAAAATGTTCGGATAGCATCTTCCACAAGAGGCAGCTGGTTATATGAGATGCGAGTTATGAGGATATGATTTCTCGGGCACCTGGAGCAGTCAGGGATTACAGCGGCTACAAAATAACAGTAGAAAGTGTAAGAGAAAAGCATGCTTTTTTCATCACATTTATATTTATTAGATAGCACAGTAGAGAACACAGGACAGGAAAGCATTAGGTGTTTTGTAATAATACTGTTTAAGTGTACAAATTCAATTGTATACTCGTATTGAATTGAAGATTAAAGTTTTGGCATTAACAGATGTGAAAATGAATAACAGAGTAAAGTATTAAAATTGCTGCAGATAAAATTCGTCTCTGGATAAATGTCGACATTAAGTGGTATGACATTTCTTAAATATTCACTGTGTCGTCTTATGTTATAATTAGCCTTAACTAGGCTAGTTTTTTTGGTAATTTAATGGAAAGGAAATATAATACAAAGTAAAGTTTTATAAATGTAGTCTACATAAAGAAATGTTCGAATTAAGATATAAAAAATGACAGTCTGTGAAAAGGGTCCATTGTTTTGAACATGTTTTGTACTAATTTTAAATGATTATGTTTTCACACTGATGTATCAGAACTAGATTGTGCCACCACTCCTTTTTGCATTCCTCATTCTCCACTCTTGTTTCTCAACTCTCTCTCACCCCTTTCTCTTTGCAGGTTCCACAGAGGCAGCCGAAGAGGCCGTTGATCATCTGTATGGCACAGAGAATGAGCTGCAGAGCGCTGGTCATCAGCAGTGTTGAGAACAGACCCACATTAAACTCCACCACATTCTTTGGCTCAGTGCAGGTTCCCCACTTGCTACGGTCCTTAAGGTAACTCTCTTTTCTGAGAGATACAGACAAAACACATTTATACATATCTAAACAGTAAGGATTGTCATTACGTGCTCTAAAGTGCTGAGGTGTGTCTCTTACCCGTCTTTGAAGGGAGTTCCCCAAATAATAAGGAAATGTTTACAGTATGGCCCGTTGATTAGACCCATCAGTGCCACTATGAAACTGTAAAGGGCACCAGCTACACCCACTGCTGCAAATAAAATGGACAGGAACATCTAAAAAAGAAAATGCATCATCAGAATGATTTGTGACCCTGGACCACAAAACTAGTCATAAGGGTAATTTTTTTTTTAAATTGAGGTTTATACATCATATGAAAGCTGAATAAATACGCTTTCCGTTGATGTATGGTTTGTTAGGATTGGACAATATTTGGGCGAGATACAACTATTTGAAAATCTGGAATCTGAGGGTGCAAAAAAAATCGAAATAATGAGAAAATCACCTTTAAAGTTCTTAGCAGTGCGTATTACTAATCAAAAATTACGTTTTGATATATTTACGGTAGGAAATGTACAAAATATTTTCATTGAACATGATCTTTACTTAATATCCTAATGATTTTTGGCATAAAAGAAAAATCTATAATTTTGGCCCATACTGTGTTTTTTTTGGCTATTGCTAAAAATATACCCAAGCGACTTAAGACTGGTTTTGTGGTCCAGGGTCACATTTAATTTAAGCACATAATATACAAGAAATTAATTCAATCATGCAATTACTGTGAATTGTTGTGTCTAAATTTCCCCGCATGTTCATATTGAAGACATCTTAAGAACCATTTCCTAATCACACAACAACATGGCCGAAAAATGAACTTCTACAAATCTGTCACTGCTCAGTTGAGGTTCTGCAAATATTTGCGATGAGGGTACATTTTTCAAGCCACATGTCAGACTCATGAGTCACATCTTTATAGATTTTCTCAAAAAAGAGGAACGCCCTGTGTATTTTCAGACAGGTCTGTTCTTCACGCTTACAGGCACATGTTCTTCACATCACGTGTATTCGGTTCCATTCTAAATACATTTATTTGTCTTAGTTTGCTAAGAGAAGATTCAGTCCACAACTTTAACACAAGTTCTTCCTTAACTTAGCATGCAGCGTCATCACAAAACATTGATCTCACAACAGATGTCGGTAACGTGATTTACTTGTACATATCAAGCTATTTAAAGGTGACAAATGCATCACTTTTTTTTCCTGGGCTCGTAAAGAGGCAGTGGACAGTCTTCTTCATAACTAAATTTCTAAAGGATTAGAGATATTTATAATCTTCAGACTAAAAATAAAGTGTCTGTTGGTGTCAGGGTTGGAGCAAACTCACCCCACAGCGATTAGCACAGCAACCCTGCTTTCCAGTCAGGTGAATGTGCAATGCTGGAATCAGCACCTGGAGGAGAGAGAGGACCATTCTTTTAGATTATCATCACTTTGACAGAGTTTGGATTGACTTTAACACACAATAAATGTATTCTGTACATTTTTGTTTCAAGGTCACTCTGTGGATTCACTTTGATTCCCATTTGGTGTGACACTACTGCAATAGCTCTCTAGTATAATCACTCTTTGGCTCATAAAGATAGGTGTTGTCCATGAAACATCAGTATTTTTTTTGAATCTCATGGTTTCTCATAAAACAAGGCAAACATCTTTTAGTACATTCCTTTCCCAAATCAAATTAAGACTTGGCCTATTCTTACAAAGGCAGCTTATTCGTAGAAACACGTGACTGACAAGCCCCAAACTAAACTTAGAATCATATCTAGACAATAGAAATTGTCATACGGTGCATAAATAGAATTAGAATTGTATATAGTTCAACATTACTTTGTTTACAATTCAATAAAGTCAGACTTACCAGAATCCCCCCTCCAACTAGTCCTCCCATGTATTTGACCTCCTCAGTAATTTGTTGATTCTGTGCATACTTTACATCCCAGCCAGGAAAAAACAGCATAATATTACATATTATGGAGATGACCGCCAGTGGGTACAGACTTGTCCCGACGCAAAGCGCACATTTTCCCGTACACATGCTGCAAGGTGAGTGTTAGTCCGGAAGTCAGAGAACAGCTGTAATTTCTACACTATTTAAAGTAAAAAGCTCCAAGATAAAAAAGAGCTTGACAAAAAGTTTGGTTATGGTCTCTGAGTCGCGCACACACACCCTGAAGTTGTCTGTCTGCCAGAGTGCAGAGGTTTTTATAAACACAGTCATTTATTATTGAGTTAAGATAAGTCCAGCCCATGGAATCCAGTTTAGGTAACCACACCCTGTCCAGAGAATCTCTATCCAAATCATACAATATAAAATTATATTGTTTTATTTCCTCTTGTTTCTTAGCTGCTTGAGATGTACAGTGTTAACCTTTTTTACCTGTTTGTACATATAAACCTTTTAATCCAGAACTCTCTGGAATTCACACGGGCCTGTTTTATAAACAAAAAAACTTTTACAATAACCATCATCAAACATCAAAAACTACAGCTTATATCCCATATATACAAATTTATATTTATACATATTTAATAACATTTTTGTTGGGATCTGTAAACACCACTCTGTTTGTTGTAGCACTTGTTACAGTACATTTTTAACCTGTCAGTGCAGCCCGAGTCAGATCTGACACGAAATGAATGACAAACTGTGGAGAAGTGTGTGTGGGATGGGTGTTGTATTCACTAAATTATGTTTGCGCAGGGTGCTATAAATCAAATGCACCGTGGGACTTTGGACTGTCTCTGTAGTGAGAGAAAAACATCATGACGGTAACACTGTAAAGCAAATAGCGTTATCTAAAAAAACTGTGTGCCGTTTCCTTTCTCAGTATAAAAGAGGAATTATTAAACGACAGTTGCTGTCCAGCCTATTTGTCTATTAACATATACTGATTCTGCTGTAGTAAACCTGAAATTTCCCATGTTATAATATTTCCATTAAAGGAGAATTATAATAAATGTTTGTTTGTCACACAGTTCGAGTTAGTTTTTGATGTTCAGCAGAGTTTATGTTTGAGAAGAGGTGCAGTCATGGTTTATGGAAACACTGCAAGAACTTGCCTCCTTTAAAGGCTTTTCCTGTCTGCCTAACCCCTAATCCTAGTGAACTAAAGCATGCCGACTGACACACCCTATCAGCCAAAACTTGGACAAAAACGTGTTTGTCAAATGAAATGCTTGCATTGGGGACCCAAACACAATTCCCACAAATCAGATTAGCATGACGTCACATTATCCTAATGATGTTTCCTCTCAAACGTAACTTTGTGTTGTTGTCAGTTCAGAAAGTAAAAACAATTCTAAAAGCATACTTAGGCCTTCTTTCTAATTAAGCAAAATAGTCTTGTGTACATGCAAAAGTGTATCTTGTGTGAATGTAAGAAAGCATTAATGTGTCTGTTATTTCTTCGAATTGTCTGAAAGCCTCTTTTTTTTAAGACATAGGCTTACTTCTCTTTGCTTCCTCATTTTCAATATATAAGCTGGATGTCACTATCATTACATTTTGAAGCGTTCTTCCTGTAGTCGTGAAAAAGGGTTCAATGACAGCATACAGTGGTGTGAAAAAGTGTTGGCCCCCTTCCTGATTTCTTTTTTTTTTTTGCATGTTTGTCACACTTTAAAGTTTCAGATCATCAAACAAATTAAAATATTAGTAAAAGATAACACAAGTGAACACAACATGCAGTTTTTAAATGAAGGTTTTTATTATTAAGGGAAAACAAAATCCAAAACTACATGGCCCTGTGTGAAAAAGTGTTTGCCCCCTAAACCTAATAACTGGTTGGGCCACCCTCAGCAGCAACAACTGCAATCAAGCGTTTGCGATAACTTGCAATGAGTCTGTTACAGCGCTGTGGAGGAATTTAGGTCCACTCATCTATGCAGAATTGTTGTAATTCAGCCACATTGGAGGGTTTTCGAGCATGAACCGCCTTTTTAAGGTCATGCCACAGCATCTCAATAGGATTCAGGTCAGGACTTTGACTAGGCCACTCCAAAGTCTTAATTTTGCTTTTCTTCAGCCATTCAAAGGTGGACTTGCTGGTGTGTTTTGGATCATCGTCCTGCTGCAGAACCCAAGTTCGCTTCAGCTTGAGATCACGAACAGATGGCCGGACATTCAACTTTAGGATTTTTTGGTAAACAGCAGAATTCATGGTTCCATTTATCACAGCAAGTCTTCCAGGTCCTGAAGCAGCAAAACAACCCCAGACCATCACACTACCACCACCATACTTTACTGTTGGTATGATGTTCTTTTTCTGAAATGCAGGCTTACTTTTACGCCAGACGTAATGGGACACACACCTTCCAAAAACTTTTATCTCGTCAGTCCACAGAGTATTTTCCCAAAAGTCTTGGGGATCATCAAGATGTTGTCTGGCAAAACTGAGACGAGCCTTTATGTCGGCCGGCCACTCCTGGGAAGGTTCTCCACTGTTCCATGTTTTTGCCATTTGTGAATAATGGCTCTCACTGTGGTTCGCTGGAGTCCCAAAGCTTTAGAAATGGCTTTATAACCTTTTCCAGACTGATAGATCTCAATTACTTTTTCTCTAGTCAAACACGGTTTTCCGGTTTTCGTCTTGGAACTCTGCCATGCAGACCATTTTTGCCCAGTCTCTTTCTTATGGTGGAGTCATGACTTAACTGAGTAACTGAGGCAAGTGAGGCCTGCAGGTCTTTGGATGTTGTTGTGGGGTCTTTTGTGACCTCTTGGATGAATCGTCGCTGTGCTCTTGGGGTAATTTTGGTCGGCCGGCCACTCCTGGGAAGGTTCTCCACTGTTCCATGTTTTTGCCATTTGTGAATAATGGTTCTCACTGTGGTTCGCTGGAGTCCCAAAGCTTTAGAAATGGCTTTATAACCTTTTCCAGACTGATAGATCTCAATTACTTTCTTTCTCATTTGTTTCTGAATTTCTTTGGATCTCGGCATGATGTCTAGCTTTTGAGGATCTTTTGGTCTACTTCACTTTGTCAGGCAGGTCCTATTTAAGAGATTTCTTGATTGTGAACAGGTGTGGCAGTAATCAGGCCTGGGTGTGGCTAGAGAAATTTAACTCAGGTGTGATAAACCACAGTTTTAACAGGGGGGCAAATACTTCTTCACACAGGGCCATGTAGTTTTGGATTTTGTTTTCCCTTAATAATAAAATCCTTCATTTAAAAACTATATCTTTTACTTATTTTTTACTAATATTTAAATTTGTTTGATGACCTGAAACATTAAAGTGAGACAAACATGCAAAAAAACAAGAAATCAGGAAGGGGGCCAACACTTTTTCACAGCACTGTAGGTTGAACTACAGAGCAAAGTTTTTTTTGGAAAGGAACTTTATTGATGTTCAAATTCTGTCGCTCTCCAGTTGATAATATGCATACACCCAAATATAAATGTTGTATTTATAAATCTTGTCTTTACAACATTATAAAAGGTTCATATCATCAAGCCAAACATGCACATCTTAGAAACATGTGAAATCTACAGATGACGTACATTTACTACAAGTACAGAATCACAGTCAAAGAAATCCTTCTGAAAGATAAACTATTTAAACTGTATTTAACTTAAAAAAGATGGGACTTCACAATAGGAACGGTGACTATAAATTCTGACTGGATTATTTAATTTGTCCAGTTTATGTTCTACTACTTATTGTTCTTTATGAGGAATAATACAGATCTCTGAAAGATTTAAGATAATTCCATGCTTTATTATTTAACAATAATTTAAAAAGTGTTTAGTCAGGAAGTGCATGTGTTTTTTTTATATCGTTTTATTTGTTATATTTTATTTATTATATCGGCTGTATGAGCCTCGAGCGCCCCCTGTAGAAACACATTGTCCTCTATTTGATCCCTCCGCCCCCCAGTGCTGATGGCAAGGCGTTTGACAAACATTTGCGTACATTTGTGTAAATACAAAACGTCTGATTTGTGAAAACCGAAAAGTAATTCAGATCATTTACCTTAATTAAACCACTTCAGGAAAATGTGGCTCTCATTTCTGTAGCGGTGAAAACCTCATTAGACAGCTGTTGCAGTGACTAACCAGAGACGCCCCTCTAAACTTCAACATCATTGGAGAGGCTTGCTGTGCTGTCAAACTAGAGACATTTTGCTGGAAATTACAAAATAAGACATATTTTGACAGGTCATTGGTTTAAAGTTCAGAAATGTTTTGCTTATACGTAAGAAAAAAGACGACCAAAAGTCTCTCATTTAATTTGGAATGACTAGTTTAACCCTGTAATTGGTTATTTATTGCTGTCGAGCAGTAAGTTTAATTGACATTATTTTCCCTGCTTCAGATTTGCGTTGGTACACGAGAACACGAACACTAACGGGGATACATAAACTATGGACACGTCTGATGAAGGGAGGATGTCTCGTTTGAAAGAATTTTTGCTAACTTTCTTCATGCCAGAAAAATGTTATGACCAGTTTTTCCTTTACTTCAACTTTATGCACGGTGAGAGACAGCGTTCTCTTGACTAAACATATGCAAATATATTCAAACATGCCCTGGTTTGTAAAAACATGTCCTCCAAAACAATTTAATTTTACAGTGGGCAATACATTTAACATCAATTTAACACATTACATTTACAGATGACTGGTTGTAATGATGTTTAATGTTAGCCACAGCTGACTATTATTCAGTATCCAGTGTGCTTGTAAACATTACAGAATATGTCTTTACTGTTTTTGTCCGTGTTGGTCTCTAGTTCCCTGTCTGAAGATTGTCTTAAGTAAAACTATGGGAATATTGATTTTGGTGGGAATTGTTATTGGTAAGTAGTCTATTTTACATCATAGTTCATGTCCTCCAAAGTTGAAGTTATAACTTTGTTTTCTCTGCTTTATATCTTGTGCAACTGTGTTGCATAGTGTGTGTGTGTGTGTGTGTGTGTGTGTGTGTGAATCTCCTTGTTCCCACAGCTCCACTCCCTCAGATCTGGAAAGTTCTTTGGTCTGGAAGTTCTAATGGACTGTGTATGACCTCCAATTTTCTGGAGCTGTTGGCCATCTCTACTCATGCAGCTTTCTGCTACGCTCAAAAATTTCCCATTGGGTAAAACAGCGCTGGCATTAATTC